TTTCTCGTATAGGCCTATTTTATATATATATATATATATATAGCCTAGCTTTATTGTGGTTTTTCTCCGCTGGCAGAAGCGCTGCAGGTGCGTGATGTGATATGATGACCATGTGAATCCTCATGTTCTGTTGTTTGCTGCTTTTTGCGCATGTAAAATTAATCCCCGGGAAACAAATGTTAGTATTTTTAACGGGTCACAGACACTTATCCTTTCTAATTTATTTCAATTCTAATTTTTCAAAGAATCTTGTCAGTTAAAGGTTAATAATCGGTTAACGAGTGTCGGTTGTTGGTTAAGAAAAATAACCAAAATGAACATCCCTACTTGCAACTTTCCTTTCATCCAGTATTTCCAGGTGGTGTGGTGTATTGATTAAAGCTTAAAGTTGGTAAGTGAAAGACTGCTGGTTCACGTGTGTGCTCCAAACGGTTGAACCGTGGTGCTTATTTGGGAAATTTGTGTTTGAATTTAGCTTGCAACTTTCCTTTTATCCAGTATTTTCAGGTGGTGTGGTGTAGTGGAGTGTAAATGGAAGGTTCCTGGTTCACATGTGTGCTCCAGATGATTGAACCATGGTGCTCATGTGGGAAATTTGTGTTTGAATTTAATTTAACCTGCAACATACCTTTTATCTATTATTTCCTAGTGGTGTGGTGTATATATAGTTCAGAGTGGGTAAACGGAAGGTTGCTGGTTCGCATGTGTGCTCCAGATATGTTTAACTGTGGTGCTTATGTGGGAAATTTGGGTTTGAATTCAGCCTGCAACTTACCTTTATCATTATTTCAAGAGTTCCAGAGTGTGGTGTTTTGGGTTATAAGATTTGGTAACTGGTAGGTTGCTGGTTCAAGCAATGATTTGAGCCATTGAGCACTTAGAAGCGTCTGTTTTCAGAGATATGCACCATATACTCAAAGGTATTTGCATACACACACTCACAGCCAACATAAACAGTCAGAGTGGACACTGATGATGTCCATGTCTCCGTAACATTCCTGCACAGAGTTACCACGCCCATTCTGTCTGTCAGGACGGTCTGTCATGCTATGAATCTGTTTGAGTAACAATTGATGGTGAAAGTTACTTATCTTTAGTAGTTTCTAACTTTTATTTCACTTAATTTCTAAGTTGTTTCTGAGTTATCACAGTGATGCTTGCCATAGCAAACTCTGTTCATACTTACAAAACTTAAAGTAAATTTAGATTGTGGATTGTGGATGTTCTCTTATTCACTGGTCTGAGGCTCTTGCGACTGGGATATGTGTCGGGACAGGTCATAAAGAGATCACACCCATCCTACTCTACGCTCAGTAACTCTCTTACATCATCGCATTGGTCCCGAGTGAAGCACTGCCTGAGGAAACATAACACTTAAAATTTCATTGAAGCAAAACGTACGCCAGAACATGGGAGGTGTGTCGATTTTGTAAACCATTGAGCTCTGTGCTCACACTGTCCTGTAGAGACATGCCTACTATATATGCATGTCCTAAGGCATGCTGGGACATTGGAGGTGGATTTACAACTCGAGATCTCTGTAATTCTCCAGTTCATGGACATCCACCATTGGGATTTGAACCAACAACCTTAAGTCTACTTAGATAAGCTTCGATACTACTATGCAAATGATGTTATACCACGATTTATGAAGTATACTTTCTACTTTCTTCTCATACAGGCAAAAGGTGGAACAGGACCTAAGCAACTCCAGGGAAAAAGCACGGTGAGACCGCCACAAGCAGCCAATCAGAATCAATCAACAAAGAAGCGTAAAAAAGGCACAAATAAGAGAGCACGGAGAGACAACATGAGAGTTAAGATGATGAAAGACCAGCAAAAAACCCAAACTAGTGAAGGTGGAAAGGATGGAAAGCCTTGATTTTGGAAAAATCAATTTTTTGTGTAATTACTGTATTCATTGTTTAAAAGCACTTACTACCCCTGATATTATGTACAATGACTTAAAACATATTTTGTATAACTTGTTAACATTTTGAAACATTCCTTACCATTAAAGAGCAGTTCATATGGTATTTTAAAGTGTCCTAATATTCTGTTGGAGTCCCCTACAACAGGTTTAAATGCAAAAACATTGTAATTATCTCAGAATATACATTTAATATTAGAGTCATTTGCCAATGATTTCGAAACGATTCATTCAAAGCAAGTTCGGAGCAAACCCCTCCCCTCCATAAGCCTACTCTTCTCTGATTGGTCAGCTGGCCAAGCCTGCTGTGATTGGCACAGAGAGGAGTCCTTGAGCAAGTTAGCGAGCGCTAGTAAAGTGACATGCACACAACTAAAAGTTCGAGTTGTATTTCTGTGGTATCCTTGAACACAGCGTCTTCTCAACATGACTAACGTGACTAACTGATGAAACAATATAGTTTGTAAACCAAAATATGTCTTCTGTAATGTTTGAAGAATGCCAGACAAAAGACGCTCTGTGTCTTAATTAATCGACACATTCTTAGGAAATAGTGGGTTCCGAGCGAATTATCAGAACTATTTCAGTAAGACTAATACCGTGCTTTACCTGGAAACCTAAACCTATCACATATTAGTACAAAAACTTGATATTTTGAGCACTCAATTGAAAATGTACACATAACGGATAGCTACGTTATAAACTGCGAAAGAGATATTTTTCAAAAACCCATATGACCTGCTCTTTAAGTAGCAAGCTTAAATTTTTTCCGCAGGAAATAAAAAAAATAAATTATTGTTTAATATAACATCTGTTATAATTATTTTGTTAGTGACACACATTCACATCTAATAAAATTATCTGTTTTATGAGAGAAAGATGTGGGTGTGTTGGAGTAGTTAGAGATCCACCTTATGTTCTAATTTGCGTACTATCAATACTAAATATAATGCAAGATTAGAATTAGTCCGTCTCTATAGAAGCCAATGTTTAAAACAGCCAAAGAACAACTTATTCCAGTGGATTTTGAACATGTGCTTTTGTGTGTGCTTTTCAGCCGATATTAAGTAAAAACTTTTGCACAATTGAAGAGGCGGAATGTGCCACGGTTTTTAGTTGTAGACCGTGCCAAGGAATGTTACGCAGAAGCTGCCACAGCAGTTTTAAAGATGTTTTAACCTAGAAGTGAAGGTAATGACATTAAAGGCAGTAAACTTAGTTAGAATCTAATGCTTACATACAGCGAGTGTTTAAAATGAAGAAATTGCACGTAAATAATAACGTTTTAAATGTTTAACATGAAGAAGAAGAGTTCAGTCAAATGAGTGGCTTAAAAACAGTTTTAGTCTACACAAGGCGGGTCGCACCTTGCGGCCATGTTGAGATCACATGACGAGCTGAATACTACGCACTTTTCCTCCAGTTGCTGAATAAATGAATCATGAGTTAATATACATCAGTACATAGGATTTTTCTGCAATGGCATTTAAACTTTCTGCTTTTGGGTCATGTTACATCCACACCAACAGGTGTCAGTATAAAATTCAAGATGACAGTTGTATCTACAAGTCAAACATAAAAATACTTTACACATTTTTAGAAACTCTAAGTAAACAACGAGCAAACTGATCAACTTCTCAGTTGTAGCATAGGACGCAATCTTGCTATATTTCTGAGATGTAAAAAGGATGCTTTAACAGCGCAAAATGATCAAATGTAAGACTGGCATCAACTCCAAGGTTCCTCATTTTACTTTTAATATCCAATACAGAACCATAAACAAAGTCAGAGAACCACCATTAAAGATTTGATGACTGGAACCGATAAGCACGACTTTAGTTTTACCGTTATTAAGGCAGAGGAAGTTATTAAGCTATTAAGGAAAGTTACTTACTCAATAGCTTAAGTTATCAAGGAAGTTATTAAACTAAGTGATTTTACGGAGTAATAAAAAAACGCTTTCACCTTGCTGGCAGGTGTGTTTAAAATAATCGTATCATATGCACAGTTGTTTAGCAGAGCATGAATCATAAATTCATGTGCTCTTGCCTAGAGTGTAATATTATGAACTGAAGCAAAGCCACCAGAGAACAACCTCTGCTCACGTCGTGGCCTGCATTGACCCGTTATTTAGCCTTTGGGTTAAAAATGGTGTTTTGGTATTTTTGTTCACCATACAGACTTGTTTGTAGATCTGAAAACATGCATTTGCTTCATGTTTCTTTCTTTCTTTAATAATAATAATATTGATTTTTAAATGATCATGTTGGTTACTTGTTGTGTTCAGTTGTGCAGTTGAGGTGGGATATGGTTAAGATTAGGGCCAGGTTTGGGGTGGTTTAAAGGTATACGTGTAGGGCAAATTGTGTAATTATAGATGTAACTACAGAAATGAATTACAGGAAGGTATTTTTAAATATAAGTACAATATAAAAACATGTATGTACACAAGTGCATTGTATCAAATATTAATTTAAATGTAAGTATGTAGTAGTTAAAGACACTTAAAGGGTTAGTTCACCCAAAAATGAAAATTCTGTCATTAATTACTCACCCTCATGTCGTTCTAAACCCGTAAGACCTTCGTTCATCTTCGGAACACAAATTAAGATATTTTTGATGCATTCTGACAGCTCTCTGACCCTCCCATAGACAGCAATGTAAGTAACACGATCAACGCACAGAAACGTAGCAAGGAGATCGGTAAAAATAATCCATGTGACATCAGGGGTTCAACCGCAATTTTACGAAGCTACGAGAATACTATTTGAGCGCAAAGAAAACAAAAATAACGACTTTATATTCAACAATTCGTCTCCTCCGCGTCACCCTAGCGCCATTTTGGAGAGTATCCACTGAACGCAAACAGCATATGTTGTTCTGTGTCAGCTGCGTCACGCGGATACGTTGTTTTTGTTCAAATCAAAGCGTTCTACGTACGATGAACTTACGGGTTTAGAATGACATAAGGGTGAGTAATTAATGACATCATTTTCATTTTTGGGTGAACTAACCCTTTAAATGCTAAATATTTAAAGTGTCCCTGAAGTATACTTGCAACAGTTCCACGTTAGCACAATCGAATATACTTCAGTATATCTTTAGTTGGTCTTCAGCACTACTTCCACACAATTAAAGTGCATTAAGTACAAAATTAGTTGTTTCCAATTTATCAGACTTTAATTATACCAGTTTAGTATACTAAAAGTACAGTTGCAGGGTATTTTTTATTAAGCACATAAATATCTAAATGTATTTGCAGTCTACTTAGCATGAAATAAATATTTATTTTTCACGTTTTCTTTAATTTTTAGTTTTCATTTTGTTTTTAGTCAGTTTTTAACATTTTAGTTAATATGTTTTTATTTCATTTTTAGGTTCAGTATTTTACTACTTCAGTGTAAGGGAAAATTTGTCATTTTCATTGAAGTTTTTAAGTTTAAGTTATATTTAAAAATTCCACAGAAGAAAGTTTTACAAGTTTAAAATGTTCATTTTGATTTTTGAGTGATCGATCCCTTTAAAGCAGCACTATGTAACTTTTGGCGCTCTAGCGGTTAATAAACAGAACTGCACACATCCCGCGGAAGAACACTCCAACCGGAACTACTTCTCTAAGTTTATGTCTATGGCGATTCACGCAGGTATGTGTTACTCCGCAGCGGTGACGACCCGACCAGGCTACAATAGTCCAAATATAAGTACTTATCAGTGTACCGTAGTGATTCGGAATAAGGATAAAAACGCGGTTTGGAAGATGAATTCATGATGTACTCGCTCATTATATACATTTTGCGAATTTTGAACACAGAAAAAGTTACATAGTGCTGCTTTAAGACTCTAAGATTAGTTCGAAGTCACTACTTAACAAATGGTTCACTACCACATACTTAATTTCCCTTCTGAAACCACAGCCACAGTTTCCAACTTCCTTTCATACTCTGAGGTTTAAAAATGCCCATAGTGAAGCTCCGCCCCTCGATGCAGTGATGATGATGATGATGATGATGCAGAGTGAGTGGGCGTGTCCTAGAGGGGTGGAGCCCACCTTCAGGACGGGACCTCCAGCTCAATGGGCAGGGAGAGGAGCGTCCTGGACCGCCTCTGCTATTTAAGCACCACACCCATCACACACTCCTTCTTCTGCACAGCATCTGAGACCTACTGATCACTCGAGGTAAGCTCAAAACCTTCTCCTTCAGCTGTTAAACCTCTGTTTTAAGGCACTTTATTAAAATAAATCAACATTTATAAAGCAAATGAATGTCCTCTTTGAACTTTGAATGTTTTGCGATACAATATATTGTATGAAACTAAACTCCTTTTCTTGTAACATTAGCCATTTTACATGCAAATCAACAGACTTCTCAAGAAAGGCACTTTTTAAACTCTTTAAACCCATAAGGTTGTGAGAAAGGACTGAGACATGGATGGATCTGTCTCGCATGCTGTAAGAAATTTTCCCAGCATGCTCTCTCATGGGTGTGTCTGTTTGCTTAGGTTTTACCAGATGCTGGGTTTTTAAACGACTGTTTACTGGTCCTGTTTTGGACTAATTTCTTAGCAACGGCAACACATCATACGTAATGTCTATGTAATAATTTTTTCGCAAAATGCAGCATTTTAGAGGGAAAACTAGCATGATTTACAAGCATTTGGGCGTTTTTTTTTTTGCATTGGAAGTTAATGATTTGAATGGAAGTGAACAGTAGCAGTAAACTGACCAGAAATGACTTTTTTTGCAGTATCTCTTTCATCTCGCCGTCTATTTTTTTAAAATTATTTTAGCTTTGTTTCATGACTCATTATGTGAAGGATGAGGTGACAGTTTTTCTAAACTGAAGATGGGCAATAGAGTGCTGTTCTCTGAACTGACATGCCCTCTGCAGTTCCGCTTTACATAACTCTGGAGCATGTGACGGACGCTCAGAGTCTCCTCTGAAAGCTGAGAGTGCTCTCGGTGCACTTTAGGCTGCAGAAAACCGATGTAAATCAGATGGTCGTTCAATTTGCTGCATGATGGTCATCAGACACATAAAGCAAAATATCATGGAAATCAATAGGTGTGGCTGCTCTCCACAGGAAGTCCAGGATGGCGATGGTACA